GAGCTCCCAGTTTGAGCAGAGTCAGTTAATAGGATGGATGGCTGCACAGCTAACTGAGCACTAAGATACATTTAGCAGCAGCTGCTAACAACAAGTAAAGCGATATGTCAGGAAACTCCGTAAATCAACAAACGTTGAAGAAGAGCAGGACATCACAGGTAAGACCAGAAAATAGAAAATATTTTCTCCATAAAATATGATGATGATAGTTATCAGTGAGGCCCGGCCCCCAGAAACACTCATCTACCGTAGCAGTGCTCAGAAGCGCTGGGTGCTGCCCATGGATGCATATTTAGAACTGGATGTGGGACCCAAAGATGGTGCCTATTCAAGTTTCTAGCTTCGGGAAAAAGCTTTTTGGACTGCAATATGATGCAATACCGTGAGTGGCCACAAGGCTAACTGCAAGGCTGAGCATAGTGGAATTTGGCAAATCAGAAGAAAGTCGGTTAGGAAGGGGGCTGCATAAAGGGCCAGTATAAGATAAAAAATTATTTATTTGAACTGTGAATCATGTAAAGCTACTCTAGTGGAATCCCAGAATAAAAACATAGAGCTGGAAAGGAGCATAATGTCACTCACCATAGAGCTGAGAGAAACTGCAGAGTCAGGTAAGAATTATTTGTAGGTTTCTCACTACAAGAGAAACTTTTCACATTACACATAGTCCTTTATTCCATCGATACAAATAAGGGATTTTACATAATATGCTGGAGGTTCTTTTACTGTATACAATTTCCTCTCATTTGTGAGTGTTCTGAGAAAAACTCTCACGGGGAGTTTTCAGTTTGGATGAGAAAAAGTAGGGCCGGTATAGCAATAAAAAGCCTCTATTAACGTTAAAGTTGTCAGCAGTTCTGAAGATGGCACACCCTCCTTAGTGACAACTGTATCCTCCACACTGTTAGATACAACCTCAGCAGAGTAAATGTTTATAAAAGTAGAGTAACTTTACTCCTTCTCTCTCCCAGTCACTCTCCACTCCTCCCTGGTAATTCAATCAGAGGATTAAATGTTGCAACATAACCTCGGCAATTGGACAATTTTCCCTTTATCACTATGGAGATGGTTGCTTGATAAACAAAGAAAGAGAAAGTTGGCGTTTCTCTAAAATGTCACACAAGAGCACAACCACCTCATTTGCTGAGATTAAATAAGAAGGATGAATTTTGCAATACTAATATTTGTGCATGTGTGTTTAAAGAAATCTGTGTTGTCTCATTCAATAATAAAGTCTCCATCTGGGCCACTAATATGTAACCTCATGAGCTGCACAGTAATTTCCTCTTGGGTCATTTTGTTTGAATGCTGTAATTAAGTGCTGAAATAATTTTTTTCTGGATGGAGGTTGTCCTGCAGAAGATCTGTGGAAGACCTTGTCAGTAGTCAAGTAATAACCTATTTATTAAATGCAATCCAATACTTTTATTGTGATTTGCCACTATAAATAATTCCACATACATCTGACTATTTCTATATTTCTACATGAAAATATAAAGATATTTTCCACCACATGATTAAACACTCTTTCTGATGACAAAATGTGCTTAAATCATAAAACACAGAATTTGGAAACATTTAAATGGAAACGTGGAATTTGGTAAAAAGTTAAATGTAATTTTGAAAAAATGGATTTCATAGGGCCCTATACAGTATACAGTACTGTGTGGAACATAACTGGTGATTCACAATCATTTGGATTTGATAATTGAGGACTAGGTTCTTAGTGGACGCGTTGAAATTTAATACCCTTAAAGGGGCTATATTTAAGTTCTTCAATGAAATTACTAATTAATCAATTAAATTTTCATTGTCTTATTAACAATATGCTCAAAACCCACTTAGAAATGAAGCACACACCTGTTTTCTCTGTTGCTTGCATCAGCCACTATTCTGCTTTTAATGTGAGGATACCAGGTCGGATTCAGCTCTGTGCACGCTCCTGAGCCTGAACACCACAGCTGCCGAAATGCAGTCCACTAACACCAACATAAACTCTGTAAGGATAAAAACAACAATAAAGGTTTATGTGATGAAGCCTGTCAGACCAACTGTGATTAAGATGATGTCGGGTAAAAACAGTCACATCAGAAAGAGAGAGTCATGTTAGCTTGCCAGCTAACGCCGAGCTGTTGCTAACGTTATCCGATGCAAAGTTGTATCGCTTTCCACATTACTTCACCAACTAACCTGACCCTTATTACTGTCCTATGTACCACCGGTATAAGTGTTGATTTTTGCTTGCAAGAATGGATGTAACTATACAAAGCAAATGTGGAGCGATTTGTTTACTAGCCTAACTTATAGTGATACAGGGAAGAGGCAGACAGCTATTGTCCAACTTACAGTAAAGTTACTTACTGCGGTTGTAAAGTGTGACACAATCTCATTATAATATTCAGTCCAACTCAACAACTGTTTCATTATCATCCAATACATGTAGCTGTGTTGACATTGCAGCAGGCGAGCTAACGCTGTAGCAGGTCGGCTAAATGCAGTCACTGTAATGTTATCATGTAAGAAGCACGGATTAGTTCAACCTAAAGCTGATAAAAATATTACTGTAATGTTGCAGTGGGAGTTTACCTGAGTTTCCAGCATGTTGTGTGAAGCTGTCGCTCTGCCTTTCTTCGGGAGTATTATGCCGATATGCGGCTCACTGGGCTGAATGAAAGGTACAGATCTGATTCTGAGCCGGGAATGTTAAAGTAACAAAGCCTGAACATGTCTGGAGAAAAGCCACAGCCTGCATGCTGGTGTTTCTGCGTTTATTGAGGGATTTCGGTATGAAAGCGGTTGTGTTTCGGATTATGCTCGCTCAAGAGTTCACGTGTACGAGCACACACTTGGTTGCAATCTAGAACTGCACCGCTAGTGGCCGCTTAAAACTACATAATGCTCCTTTAATATTCATCTCAAATATTCAGCCCTGACTCTTTTGTCTCCAGCAGTGGGTCTTCCTCACCACTATCAGTCACTGTCACTGCATTAGTTATGGGAATGACTTTTGATGCATGATTTTTACTGCAACTGAAGTCCTGTTTCTCACATTTTCTCTCTCACGTTTTAGTCCTCATCAAAGGGCTAATCCTACTCTCCATCACACACACACACACACACACACACACACTGGGTCATGGAAACTAGGGCAATGGAAAGCCCCTTTTCTCCCTTCGTTCTCAGTCTGTGTCATTGAGTGGACTGCAGCACTATCACTCTTGTGCATCAGAGCTGCTCACAGTAATGCTTCAGTTCCACGCTGGCAGCATGTTGGAAGTTTTCCAGCCTCCATCAGTGATGCAGAGACCTCTGCAGCCTGCTGCTCATGTCTCTAATGTGTTTCCAGTTGAAACATAGTTATTTTATGAAGAATTCCTCTGTGAGGCTGGAGAGATTCAATAGACAATAAAAGAAAGACATAGAGTGGTTACGTATTTTTAATGTGCATAAGTTAAACAAATTGCTTTGGGCAGTTGCTTTCCTCTCCACAGCAGTGTAACATATGGAGCTACAGAACAGTATGGACATGTGGTTGCTCAGCAGGTCATTTTTTAAAAATATTGTTTTGTTTAAAATCCACTTTATTGCTATTATTTCCATCTCTAGTCCTTCTCCTTTGATCAAATCACTTATAAAACTACACTGTAAAAAAAAAAACGTTTTTCACAGAAATAAACTGTATTATTTTACAGATTTTTTCTGTTTTATCAACATTACATGTAAATACCATGCAAATACAGAAAAATACTTTTATTAAAAACATTAACCATAAAATAAAAGTTATAATCTCTAAATTCATATAATGAGAAATTACAGTTTTTTACAGGATTATTCCTTTGCTTAATTGCCCTAAATGTAAAATTACATTGAATTCTATGTAAAAAGACAAAGAAATTCACATATTTAAAATTAAAACAACTTTCTGTGAAACTTTAAATTTAAGGTAAATAAATGTAAAAAAACAATCGTAAAATAATGGTAAAAAGTCTGGCAGCAAAAGTTGCCAAACACTTACCATAAAATTACAGTAAAGAACCTTAAATTATTCTACGGAATAATTCTGTTTTTAAATACAGATATTTACTGTAAACATTGTATTTTTACAGTCCAACTGCTGTAAAATGAAAAGAAAATCTCATTTAAAAAACTAAAATGTAAAATGTTAAACAAATGTATAAATCTGCATATAAACTGAATAATATTGCATTATACATTAAATATTACATTAAAATTACACAATTAAAAAGTGTCTGCTGTTTTTACACAGTTTTCTTTGGTAAATTCATAAGATTATCTATTCCATCCACAAGAACTCCTTGTCAAAGTACAGATTTTTAGATTTAAAACACAAAAATATTACATAAAATTATTTAAAATAATAATATTAAAACTCATTAACAGTATCTTGAAAGCTTTAGGTTTTTATTTTATGGGATTATCCAATCTATTAATAGTAAATTCCTGTTAAATTTAGTTTTTAAACTGTAGAATAAATAAGATCACTTGATAATAGCTTGCAAAACCATATTTTTATAGAGATTACTTTATATAAACAATATTTGACAGTAATTACAAGCAACTATCCAATATATCTACGAACTTTTCCCATTAATGTATGGAGTTTACTTTACAGACATTCATAGGCCATTTGAGGCTAAAAAGACCTATTCTCTTGATGCACAGCTTACTGATGTTTGGGCTATATATCAAAATCAAATGGTCATAAAAGGTGTATTTGTTGTCCCATCTTGGTTCACTCAAAAAACTGAAGCTTTGATTTTAATTATATTTATTTTTTAACAGATTCCACAAAATTGTTTTAGGTTAGTTAAAAGCAAAAAAATTTAATGAACTTGTATAAGAGTAACACAATGAATGTCAATTGATCCAACTAAAAATAAAAAACTTCTGATCAACAATATATTTAAGCTTACCTTTCAATATTTTATTTGGAGTAGTAAAATATACATTTATGTTCAATTAATTAAAACATTAGGTTTTCATTCAATTTTTTTTTTCCAAATTAGATTGACACAATTCAAATGTTTGTCAACTGGTCCCACACAAATCAATTTCAACTTAATTTTTTTATGGACTTTATCATTTTGGTGCAATTGGTGAAAAAAATAATACAGTACACAAAGTGTAGAAAGGTTTGCAAAATAATGTTTAGTTGTCAACAATTTTGATGATGCATTGCTTAGAATTCTATTCCACAGAACACTCAGCATCCAAATCAATGGCTCATTCATAGAGTTTGTTCTTGAGCATCTGTCCCTTGGTTGAGAGTTTGCTAGCATCTAGTTGAAAGAATCACTTGTGAAGTACCTCAAAGAAGGCTTTAAGGTTCTGAGGATAACTGAGGTTCAGTGCATAATTACACCTATTAAGAGTGCACGTGTAGGGGCGAAGTCATGCAGAACTTCAGCACCCTTGGTGACTATCCCAACATCAGCTGGAGGAGTGGTGGCATCACCTCCCTCAACACGGATGCTGTAAAGATAACTTGTCCAAGCTCCCTCGGAACAGCTGTAGCATCAGATCCTTTACATAGGACAGAAAGAAAGTAGAAAAACAAGTTGTGAAATCACAAACAGATTTTGCAGAATTCTAAAAAGTAACGTTTGTATTTCAGGTGTCCTTTATGTAATGATTTAATAAAAATAGCATGATACAGTGCTATGTGTTTAAAAATTACAAGATGAAGTAGTGCTGGGTAATTAAATATTAGATACAATTGTGTATTATTTAATATACCTCACCAATCACTTTATTTGGAGGGCGTGCAGTCTACTGCAACCCAACAGCTCTGCCATAAATCTTTACTTTTACTAAGCTTAGATATTGAAAAAGTGTTTCTATTATTCTGCCCCCCTCATGTGTGTCAATGGGGTAGACAATATTATGAAAACTTTTCTATATAATGCACTCCAGTACACCACCCACTATGAAATCAGTAATACCAGAATGTATGGCAGTTGTCATTTTTGATTGCATTAGACAGCAGATATTCCTGATAAAATGCATTGTGAATGTATATATTAGTTTTCCCAAAAGAGACAAAAAACAAAATGATTTTCTGCAAATCGTAAGAAAGTAAGAAGATTACAGTTGTGGTCAAAAGTTTACACACACTTCTAAAGAACATACACGTCATGGCCGCCATGAATTTTGGTACTTTTATGAATTTATTATGGATCTTCCGAAAATGTGACCAAATCTACTGGGTTAAAAATATACATACAGCAATGTTAATATTTGTTTAAAAGTCCCATTGTCATTTTTACCTCAATTAGACACTTTTGGTAGCCATCCACAAGCTTCTGGTTGAATGATTGACCACTCCTCTTGATAGATTTGGAGCAGTTGAGCTAAATTTGACAAACAGACTTGTTTCTTCAAAATAGTTCACATGTTCTCGATTGGGTTTAAGTCAGGTAAGGTGGGGGTACTGTTTAAAATTTTACGATACCAGTACCAAAAAACGGTAGGTAGTATTGAAAATACAGATATTTAATGTTACTTCATATAAATGCAGCTAACATTGCATTGCATTATTACAGCGTTATTACTGACCCCTTGATGCTGCTGTTATTAGTATAGAGTCAGATTTGGTTGAACTACGCACTTTAGAATGCTCCAGCCAAATCATGTTTACTCCGCCTTCATATATCTGATCCTTTTTTTGGGGTGGTGATGGAACGTATGGTATGACGCACAGGAGACCCGGGTTCAAGTCCCATCTGTGACACCAACGTGTCCCTGAGCAACACACTTAACCCCTCGTTGCTCCAGAGGCGTGCGACCTGTGATCTAAATAGCAATTGTATGTCGCTTTGGATAAAAGCGTCAGCTAAATGAATAAATGTAAATGTCTCAACTAGTGTAGTTACATGTTCTTGTCTTGTAAGTTGATTATGGTAATCTTGTATTGAGCACCATGGGCCTTGAGAAACAGCATTGGGTTCATTGTGTACTCGATATGTGGATGAATGACAACAAACAGATTTGAACTTACGGCCAAAAAACGTCCTGCTCAGCTTCCAGACCGCAGTCTGAAGAGGAAACGTTACCTATCACTAACTGCCTTCACTTTTCCAGCAGTTGGAGAACAGACAGACTTTAATTAATGGACAAACTGTAACCTACACAGTACATTTACAGCCAGACTGAAATGTAACACATATTTTCCTCTGCTCCGCTCATTTTCACCGTCACCTACTGCCTGTCACGTAGCTGTCCTGTGAAGGAGGAGAGGACGCTAGCTATGTGCCACCGTGCTGCACAGTGTGCGGGCGAAAATCATTAACGTTAGTTCTTTCTGCAGGTGTGTACCTGGGCCCTGAGCCTGGCGCTGCGTAAATCCCGCAGCTGGAGCTGATCAGCAGCAATCAGTGGGGCACATAAGCTGAGCCAGTGAAGTGCTCTCAGGCTCACTCTTCCTTAGTTGTTCACGTTAGACTGTGTGGCTTACTGTGTGGTTTATTGTGTGGTCCGTAGCGAGACGTGATCTGTTGGGTGCCGATCTTAACTACTCGCGCCGTGCGTCTGGTGACTCTGCGGAGGCAGCCGTCGGCCCGGTGTTCATGACCAGCAAGAAGCCAGTGTGGTGAGGAGCGCCGATCTCCACGTGTGCCTCACCAGTGCGGCGGGAGCCGTAGAGACTCTGTATTGTGTTGCATATTTTCCGCTGAATATCTTCATTAATTTACTTTACATAACAAACCCCATATCGTCTCTAATGTGAGCAGAGATCGCCTTCACCTTTTTTGTTACTAACTTGGAATAAATACGTTAACTTGACATGAGTTTTGGGTCATCCTTTTGTTTTTGTTAGTCCCCGCCCCTAGACAAAACGGGGACGTAACAAGCTGTCTGTTTTTTGTTTCTTTATTTCTGGCAAAATCACAATTCAATTCATTACAGTGTATATAGACTTTTGACCACAATTGTAGTTATTTGGTTTAATGCAGGTAGTAACTACTGAAATTACCAACCGGGTTTTCTTTGAAGAGGATGTTTGGGACTTCATCAGGTAGAAACCAATTGCCCTGAGGATGATCTCCCTCCTCTTTTCAACAGTTGCTAGAGAGACAAAAACAATACAGAAATACTTAAGAACTGCACATACACACATACTACACATTCTCACATGTCCAGTGATGTTAATGGTATGTGTCCTACATCTTTCATATCACGGTGAAGCCTCTGCCCTGCTCTCTGTGTCAGGGATGAGTGTCTCCACATAGACGCAAACACAGAGCCAACTTAATGGCCAGCAGAGAGGCCGCAGGTAAAAACCTTAGTGAGTAAAAAGCCAATACGTAGGGCTGCAGCTAACGATGATTTTAGTATTCAAAGCTTCTATAGATTATTTCAAAGATTCATCGATGTGTCGTTTAGGAAGTACTTTTGCTTGGGCGTAAGCACGATGTGCGAAAGTAATAAATGTCCCTGTGAAACGCTGTGCTGTATAGTTGCATGGATTAAACGATTTCTGTTTCTGACTGTTTACTACTCTCTATACATGTCAGAAGAGACGAGTCAACATCAACTTATTATTCTATAATGTTTTCTACCAATTGCAAAACATACCTGTGGGCCAAAAGTATGCGAAGTTCCCTTCCTTCCTTTGATTTGCCCCTGGCGGCTGTTCCACCAGTGTATGAATGTGTGTGAATGTTAGTTTCCGTTTGAGCACTTAGGCTCAGTGTATGAATGTGTATGAATGCAGATGTACTGTAAAAGCGCTTTGAGTGGTTGAAAAGACTAGAAAGGCGCTATACAAGTACGGAGCCTTTACATTTACTTCCTGCAGAGCCTCCTTTCTTCTTCAACACACTGAGGAGATTTTTGAGACAGGAGAGCAGTAGTAAGTTAATCCTCAGAAATTACACCTAGAAACATATTCCACAAGCACAACATATTATTGGTAGTTGAAGAGCAGCCTTATGTGTTCTGGAAATTCAGAGATAAAAAGAGGCACACTTTCGTAATTTGTAGCATTACACTGACCTGAAAGCCATGTCTACTCTGTGATGCCCTTTTTCCCCCCATTTATAATAACAGATAGCTTGCACAGCTTTAGGCTAATAGTGACTCATTGAAGTTCATAAACACTTCAAACCATTGGCTGAATACAAGACAAATAACGTTACAAGTCCAAAATATCTGTTTGTTAAAAATGAAAATTATCCTTACCTTTTTTTACTCATGCAAAAACGTAACTTTTGCATTTATTATGACCAGTAAAATAAGCCTGATATCTGAAAGTATAGACAGGAACACAAGAGTAAAACTAATCTCGCCAAACCAAAGAAACTGTGTTACAAAAGCAGCCCATCAAGAGCTAAGCTTAAGAGCTTAAACACAGACATGTAAAAACAGAGCCTTCTCTATGCACACCACCAGCACAGGCTGAGGTGTTGAAGCGCCTGTAAACAGTGTTGCTATCGACAGCAGAGGGTAACGTTCAAGAGTTCACGGATTGGCAGGCACGGCAGGATAAAACCCGATCAACCTGGGTCATGCAGCAATGTTAGCTAGCTAACACATGTCCAAGAACCACCTCCCTGGGCTAGTTAACCTAACTGCTTATACACCCGAAAAATACAGGACGTCTTCTATCACAAACACAAAATACAATCATGCTCAATATACAAATTCTACAAAAAACAGGTACGGGTAAAAAGAACAGGTCCTTACCTCTTACAACTTCCAAAAACGAAGACCACGAGCAACTTGTCCGCCAAAATTAACTCAGAAAAAGCAGTCAAGTTGCATATGTGCTGCTGGCTGAAATCTTCTTCTTCTTCTTGTTTCCGGCAGACTAGACACATCTGTGGCGTATTGCTGCCCTCCTCTGTTCGCTATTCACACCTTAACGCTAATTGCCTATATCCTTTTGTATAAACCAGTTTTATGTAGGTATTCGATCAGTTTCTTCATTTTGTTCCAACTATCTAAGTTAACTAGGGTGCGTATGCTAAATATAGTTTCTCCAGTTGCTCCCAGGTCTCTAAACAATTTCCTCCTTTGGGGAGAGTATTTTCTACAAAGAACTAATACATGCTTCAGTGTTTCCTTGTCTCCACATTCACATTTTCCATCGGGGTGTTTATCATTCAGACCCAGCCCACTCCTCAATCCACAGTGCCCAAATCTGACTCCAGATAAAACTACTGCATCTCTTCTCTGACCTCTAAAAGCACATTTTCCCTTGCACTACAGTTCTTTGTACTGAATAATATGTTCTCCCCTTTCTTTCCTTTTCCCATGATTTTTGCCACATTTCTTTCACTGACCTATTTATTATTTCTGTGTAATCTGGTAACCCATATTGTAAATTAATTTGAACTCTTTCCTCCAGCACCGCCTTCTTTGCCACCACATCTGTTTCCTCATTACCCTCCACACCTATGTGCGCCGGTACCCACACAAACCCCACCTCATACCACCTCATATGTGAATTCTATACAACACCTGCATAATTTCCACAAAAAAATCGGGTCTAGATTTCATTTTCATATCTTTAATTGTAATCAGAGTTGCTGCTGAGTCGCTACATATAACTGAATATTCCTGTTTATTATCTTCGACCCACTTTAATGCCCGTAGGACTGCCACCAGCTCTGCTGTGAAGACCGACATATGATCTTGAATTCTACATCCTTTTTTATAACCTATTTCTGGAATGCTTACACCAAAAGCCACTTTACTGCTCTCAGGATCCTTTGACCCATCAGTATAGATTTGTAGGTGGCCTCCCCATATTTGACACATCCGGGCTTTTATCTCCTTCACTACAGCCTCTGATATATTTCTTTTGCTTGTTTCCATAAAATATAAGTCAACATTGGGATCAGGAATCAACCAAGAAGGTATATCTGGACGACATATTGGTTGACATACATTCAAATTCATAATAACCAATTTCCTCTGCCATAGATTTGAGTTTTTCTGTAAAGTTTGTTTTGATCCTTCTTGCTGTTCCCATGAACTCCCAATGTTGACTCAACAGGGTTTTTGTTGGTAGATTTCCATCCTGTCCTTTTAGTTTCATTATATACTTAAAACCGATTTTACGTCTTCTTATTTCTAATGGCATCTCCCCAGTTTCTATTAATAGTGCCGGAATTGGGGTTGTGCGAAATGCCCCACTGCACACTCTAAGGGCTTTTGCTTGGACTCTGTCAAGTTGGCTAATCACTGAAGGGGCTGCTGACCCATACACCACACAGCCATAATCCATAGTCGATCTTACCATTGCTCTGTATATTATCATCATAGATTCACTGTCAACTCCCCAGTCGGCCCCAGCCACACACCTTAGGACATTAATTATTTTCCCACATTTAAAGGAAACCATCTCAATATGCTTCTTCCATGTCATCCTTTCATCTAACCACATTCCTAAAAATTTAAAATGTTTCATTCTTTCAATAGTCCTATTATAAATCTGTAACATCTGTGTAGGCATTTTCTTCTTATGTCCAAATATCATGCATTTCATTTTTTCTGTAGATATTTTAAAGCCCCATTCATTAGCCCATTCAGTTACTTTGTCCAATGCAGTTTGCGTTTGACCATAAATATAGGAGATGTTCCTCCCTCGCTTCCAGATGGCCCCATCATCCGCAAACAATGAGAACTTGAATTCTTTCCTCACTCTAATAAACATACCATTGACTAGTATATTAAAGAGCACTGGACTTATTACACTACCTTGAGGGGTTCCATTCTCTATCTCAAGCTCATCTGATAATTCGCTTCCCACCCTCACCTGAATTGTCCTGTCACATAAGAAGTTCTTAATCCAGTTAAACATTCTTCCTCTGATTCTAGTGTCATGAAGTGCAATTAACAACCCCTCCTTCCAAAGCATATCATAGGCTTTTTCAATGTCCAGAAACACTGCTACAACTGCTTCTTTATTTGCAATGGCTTTTTTAACGTCATTATCTAAATCTAATACAGCATCCATTGTTGATCGTCCTTGTCTGAATCCACTCTGATATTCCACAAAAAACCCGATTTTCTCCAGTTTGTCCACTAGTCTGTCTGTTATCATGCGCTCCATTATTTTGCATAAAACAGAGGTTAATGCAATCGGTCTGAAAGAACCAGGGTTATCTGGTGGTTTTCCAGGTTTCACAATTGGAATGATTACTGCATGTTTCCACTCTTTAGGAAGACATCCACTCTCCCATATATTATTAATTAGGGCAAGAGCTTCTTCTTCTATCATTTCTCCACAATTCTTAAATAATTGGTATCACAGTCCATCCCTACCTGGTGAGGTATCTTTCCCCTGATTTATAGCTTTTTTTAATTCTACCATTGAGAAGAACACATTAATACTATCAGAATTTTCACAGTTTATTTGTAATTTAGTCATATTATTTCTTGTTATTTGACATCTCCTCCTACTGTTTTCTTCACCTACATTGTTGGAACTATGAACTTTTTGAAATTGCTTGACCAACAAATTAGCTTTTTCTTTATTTGTTTACAGCTTCAGCTCCATCACAGTGAAGGACTGGGATTGCTGTCTGCCTGAGGACTCCTGTCATTCTATGTATTAGATTCCAAATTGTTTTTAAAGACGTATCTGGTCCTAATTTGCTACAAAAATTTCTCCAACTTTGTTTCTTTGCTTCCTTCATTACTCGTCTAGCCTTAGCTCTAAGCCTCTTATATTCAATAGCACAATTCTCTAATAGATGTTTCCTTAAATTTTGTAAGCCCTGTTCCTATCTCGGACTGCTGAATTACATTCTTGATTCCACCATGGTACCATTGTTCCTCTTACTGGTAATTTTTTCTTTGGTATATTCTTAACTGCTACTGACCACATTACTTTGCTTATAGTACTATTCCACTCATCTACTCCTCTTTCACTATCTATTCTTGATAATCCCATGTTTACTTGATCCTCAAACTTTATCCAATTAGGTCTTTTATAATTAAGCCTCAGGGGACATTTAACTGGCTCCTCAATTAGACACCTACCAAATGTACAAATTATTGGCACATGGTCACTTCCCACTGTATAAAGACCCATTGTCTCCCACCTACTGATTGATGCTAACTCTGCTGATACAATTGTTATATCTATGGCAGATGACGTTGATCGACTTGTACTAAACCAAGTGGGATGACCATCATTTAACACAACTAGTTCATTCTTGTCCATAAAGTCTTCTATAATTTGACCATTTCTGTCCCTCTTCTTACATCCCCACAGTTCATTATGAGCATTAAAATCCCCAACCCAAATCGCTTGCACATCCCCCTCCTGATGTATTCTCTCTATCTTCACATTTGTACCCAGGTATTACAAAATCTAGTCTTGGGTTTAACCAAGTTTCCTCAATGCAAATAATTTCTGGTTTTTCTATAAGATCGCCTATCAAATGTTTAAATTCTTGCCCATTCGCAATAAGGCTCCTAGCATTCCATTACATTATGTAAAACATAATACAAAGGACACTAATCACCATCATAGTCCCCGTAACTACTGCCCATTTCTTCTTCTTCTTCATTATCATCAATCTCTAACTGTAAATTCTCATTTGATCTTTGATCTGCACTGTCCTGAGTGTAAGTAAATTCCCATATTTCTTTAGGGCTAATTCCCTTGAAGCCTAGAAGCTTTTCTGCAGCAGAGGCAATTTCTCGTGCCACATCTGATTTTTTGTTTGCCACCAATTTTACTCTCCACATTGCTTCAACCATGAATGCCAGAAGTCCTTTCTTGCTAATCACTACTGAGTCGTCATTCAAAGTATGTCTCTTCACCAGATCCCTTGCAATGCCCTTGTTGTGTCCTTGGCTGACCCCACTATAGTCCTCCACTCTTTTTACTGTCTCTGCATAAGATATTTTCCTTTCCTTTTTTATTCTCTCCACATTTCCTGCTTTGATGTAGCTTTGACAAGGAAGCTGGATGTTCCTCGCCACAATTACAACATTTCATAGGCTCATTACACTCTTTCCCGTCATGTTCCTTGCTACATCGTCTACATCGCCTCCTTCCACTGCACAAAGCTGCTACGTGCCCATATCTCTGGCACTTGAAGCATCTCAAAGGGGGTCTTTCATACTCTTTTACTGGGTAGCTCATGAATCCCAGCATGACCCTCTTTGGTAGCACACCATCTTTAAAGGTGAGAAGGATAGGAGAGGATCCTCTACCATTTTCATTCTTTCCCATGCGCTTTACTGCTATGACATTACCTCCTTTTAGACTAGTTAATATCTCTTGTTCTGAGATGTCCAATGACACATTGTATATCACCCCTTTTACCTCTGCGTTTGCTCTTGGCTTACACACTTCCACTCCCTTACCAAGCACATTTTTAGTCTTTAGAGCTTTAGCTTGTTGCATTTCCGACTTGCATATAATAGATATCATTCCATTCTGCAAAGTAGCCGCATGCATTATATCACCCAGCTCTTTTTTAAGTTAGTTTGTCAATTTAAGTGGATTGACGGCAGAAAATCCAATCCCTCCTTTAACATTGATTAGAACTTTGAATCCTTCATCACTGCTTGGATTTGGCCTCATTGCTTTAGTCTGCTGGTTTTCCATATCACTTTCCTGAGAGTTGTACCCCCGCTCTCTTTTGTGCTTTTTCTTACTCACTGTGTTCCATTTTTCCCCACCCCCGTCCCAATCCGCTCCCTTGGGCATGGGCTGACTCTGATTTTAGGTAATCCCAGACTGTGTGAACTATTGGTGTTTTAACCAGGAACAGTAAAACCTTTTCCTTTACAGGAGACTCACCACTTGCCTTCCTTACACTCTGGATCTATCAGCTGAGTTTTGCAAAGACCTGTTCTGGAGTATCGTTCCCGGACCTATACAGGCCGTCGGGCAATACCCCTTGAAACAAATCCTCACAATACTCACACTTACCAATCCAAAATCACGGTTAATCACACAAATTTAGAAACCTTCTCTCAATTTGAATTTCCCTCAAACGTGACTCGTCTCTAA